GACTGACTTTGATAGACTTGGCTCTTCTCAGCAATGCAAGGATCTAAGACAACTCCAAAAACCTCATGATGGAAAACCCTATCCACATCCAGAGAAAGAACTATGGACTCTGAATGCAGATGGAAGCATACTATTTGTGCGCTGTCTCTCTCTCTCTCTCTCTCTCTCTCTCTCTCTCTCTCTCTCTCTGTCTCTCTTGCTTCTTTCTACCCCAGTCTTAGCTTGTTAATCAATCTACCAAAATTTTTTCAGCATGTCCTATAGGCTGCACTGGGCTTCTCCACTATAAAGGAATCCACATATATCTTCAGTATTTCAATGGACTTGTGCTCTCATCAATATAGATATTCCCTCCACCAAGGCAGAGAGCAAAATATCCATGTCTTTTCATCCCATGCAACTCTTGTCCCTGTTCTCTCACAGATTCTCCATAGATAATTTCCCCAATCTCCTATGCAGGCCTTCGTCTGTGTTTTTTTTTTAACGTTTTGTGATTACGAAAGCAGCTTTCATGCTCTCCATCCTTTATACTTTATCCTTTTTATGTGATCATCCTACTTCTTTTCCCAATTGTGTATTTCATAAATGATAATTCCTTATATCAGTTGTGTCAAACTCAAATAAAAATGGGGGCCACTAAGCCATACATAAGGATCCCCATGGGCCATGTATGTTTTATTGTATTTTTATTTATTTTGTGAAACATTTCCCAATTACATTTCAATCTGGTTCAGGTGGTACTCAAGAGTATCACAGATCCTTGACATTTCTCATTGTGTACATATAAAGTCTTTGTTGTTGTTCAGTCATTTTCAGTTGTGTCCAACTCTCCATGACCCCTTTTGGGGTTTTCTTGGCAGAGATACTAGAGTGATTTGCCATTTCCTTCTCCAGCTCATTTTACAGATGAGAAAACTGTGGCCATGTGATTAACACACCTCTACCTATCATTACTTCTCGTGCATAGATCATCACTGGAAATATGCTACACACTACTAGCATCCATCATGTATCTCTCCTTCAATCTTAAAGTCATTTGACTTTACAAAGAAAATAATGTTCCAATGCCGCAGGTGATGCCAGGCAGTGTTACTAAGAAAACATTTGTGTGGGAAATTTTTTTGGTGGAAATAATTTTGGAGGATTGTAAGAAAACACAGTATTCTAAATGCATCTCCCTCTATCCCCATTTCCCTGCTCTGTTACTCCCTTTTAATTGTGGGCCTAACTCATGGTCCGTCTACAGTGCCTTTCCTACATATATGGTATTAGATATGATTGTCCAACCACAAATATGTGATCTTTGATAAATTATAAAGAATGAGAGAACTGCTGGAAAGGTGGAGAAGGGCAAAGTTTATCATGTTTTTCAGAAAGAGAGAAAAGCATGGAGTCTTTGAACTACAGGGTGGTGATCTTGACTTTAATTACTGGCAAAATTCCATGGTAAGCTAATGAAGGATTAGTGAGCCTCTTGAAAAGCAAGTGATCACAAACAGAATGGTTTCATCAAGACCTGGTTTTGTTATATTAATCTTATTTCCTTTTTTGACAAGTTTACTAGACTTGTAAATCAGGGAAACAATATGGCCATACTCAAATTTCATCAAAGCATTTGACCAATGCTTTCATGTTGTCTTCGCAGGAAATGTGGAGAGATTTGGCTAGACAAACTGGTTTGGAACTGACTGAATAACCAGCCCTTAGGAGTAGTCCGGATCTATATCTTGCCACTGGACCAAGATGGTCTGGAAGAGAAAATGAGGCTGCTGACTTGGCACAGCCCTTCTGCACTTAAATCCAATTCACTTGCATGTCATGGCATCGCCTCCCTAATGTCATGGTCCTTTTCCAGAACAAGTCATTAATGGCTTAGGGACAAGCCAGAAGATGGAGTAATCCAGGGATCTGTCCTTGGTCCTTTATCAATGACTGCGAGAAAGGAATCAATGGCATGCTTATCAGAATTGAAAATGAAACCAAGCCAGGAGTAATAAATAGCTAATACATTGCAAGACACAATCAGAATCCAAAATTATCTCACCAGACTAGAATGTTGGGCTGAATCTAATAAGATGAAATGTAATAGATTTGAGTTTAAAGTCAGTATACTGAATTAATACATCTATAAATCACAGAGAGGCTGCATGGGCTGTCTCTGATACTTACTATATGTGTAATCACGGACAAATTACTTTGAACTAACACTTAACAGTTCTGCATGCCTCAGTTGAGGGAAGGAGTTCTCACCTTGAAAATTCCTACAAAATGACAGATCCTTGACATTTCTCAATGTGTATATATGAAGTCTTTGTTGTTGTTCATTTTCAGTCCCGTCCAACTCTTCATGACCCCATTTTGGGTTTTCTTGGCAAAGATACTGGAGTGGTTTGCCATTTCCTTCTCCAGTTCATTCTACAGTTCATTCTACTCATCTAAAAGGTGAGGAAACTGTGGCAGACAGGGTTAAGTGACTTGCCCAGGGTCACATAGCTAATAAATGTCTGAGGCCAGATTTGAACTCAGGAATATAAGGAGTCTTCTTGACTCCAGGCCTGTCATTCTAACCACTGTGCCACTTAGCTACCCTATAAAGTCTTACTTGGTTCAAAAAACAACTTTGAAAGTACAGAACATGGGAAGTGTAACTAGGTTAAAAATTCCTCTGAAAAAGATCTGAGGGTTTTAGTGAACTTTAGGCTAAATATGAGTCAAAGTGTGATAAAGCATCCAAAAAAGCTAATGTGGCCTTAGGGTGCATTAGGAAAGGAATAATGACAGCTGTCCTTTGCCCTAACCATACTCATCTGGAGTCTGGGGTTTAATTCTGGGTATTGCTTTTTAGGAAAGATATTGATCAGCTGGAGAATATCCAGAAGAAGGCAATCTCTTGCCCTCTTTGAGTCCCAAAGGTGTTCCAAATCACACCACATGATGATCAGGTTCACAGACTTGAGGATGTTTAGAGATTAGATTTATTTGGTTTAACTCTGGAGAGCAAAACCAGAAGCAATGAGTGAATGTTATAAAGAGACAGATTTTAGCTCAAGGAAAATCTTCCTAACAGTTTTGTTGTTCAGTCATCTATGATTCTTCATGACCCTATTTGGGGTTTTCCTTGGCCTTTGCCAAGATACTGGAGGGGTTTGCCATTTCATTCTCCAGCTCATTTTACAGATGAGGAAACTGAGGCAAACATGGTTAAATGACTTGCCCAGGGTCACACAGCTAGTAAGTATCTGACACTGAATTTGAACTCAGATCTTCCTGACTCCAAGCTGAGCTCTCTATCCACTGTGCCACCTAGCTGCTCCTAACAATTCCAGTGATCAAAGAGTTGCTTCAATAGATATGGGTTTCTCCCTTGCCAGAAATCTTCAAGCAAAGGCTGGATGACCATTTATCAAGTAGAGGGGATGCATATTCAGGCACAGGTTGGACTAGATGGCATTTGAGAACCCTTCCAATTTTGAGATCCAGTAATACTAATTCTGTTGTCCTGTGTTATATCCTGATGTATTAGCCTAATGGATTGGCCATCCAACTACATGTCTGGGCAAGAGGCATTTTTTTAATCCATTTAGTTTTTCCTATATAGATCATTAGGCCAATCTTATCAAGGAGGAGACCCTGCAATTTTCTTGGGTTTGATACAATTAGTACTAAATCATCCACAAACTGAAGTATCTGGATGGCTTCATTCCCTAAATAGTACATCCCTTTTTCATTTGCTCCCCCCCCCCATGGACATCCTCAGAGTTGGAATCTCAGAGTTGGAAGAGACCTCAGACACAATCTGGTTGAGCCCATACCCTAGTAAGGAATCCCTCTACAACATAACCCATTCATAGTCTGTAGAAATATTTTTCAATTTGCTTTCACATATATTACTACTTATTTCTACTATATATTTCACATATATTACTACATAGGATTCTCATGACATCTCTGTGATTTATCTGGGTCAGATGTTACTCCTGTTTTATAGATGAGGGAACTTAAGGCTCAGAGAGGTTATATGTTTTGCCCAAGGTCATGTAGCTAATTAGTGACAGGTCTGGATTATACACAGGTTTTCTGGCTCACCCAACACCCTCCCCATGGCATTGATTTGCTAGTTAATCCTGGATTTCAGGACTAGCTTCCTGTACTCCTCATTTGAGTACAGTATGACATGTTAACTTGGCGTCTGTCTGCTATGTGTTAATTATTTGCTATATTTATCTGCTATATGTATATTATTTGTATCCCCGAATACATTATAAGCTACTTAAAGGCAGATCTGGCACGGCGGAATGAGTCCAGGCTCTGGAATCACGGGATGTCAGGTCAAATGGTTCCTAAGTAATACCTGTATGACCTTAGGCAAGTCACTTTGGGCCTGTTTCTGTACCTGTTAAATGAGGAGGTGGGACTAAATAGCCTTTAAGGGCCCATACAGCTCTGGACCTATGATTATTCTTTAAACTTTCTTTATATTTGAAACAGGACCTATCACAGGGTTGGACACCAAAAAACTTCATTGCAAGCCATGGCTGAGGTGGATAAATGAGAGCAGGAAGAGCAACACATAAAGATGAACTGGATAAAAATATATTTTCTTTCATCTAAGAACCCTTACCCAACTAACTCCCCGAGGAGTCTTCCTTTCAAAATTAGAATGTTCACTACTTAAAATATTTCTTTCTTTCATATTCTGACTTTGGCACTCTCTCTATTTCCTGTCACCCCCTCAAAACCTGGCTCCTTCCCTAAATTTCCCACTGGGATGGTCTCCCTGTGACCTCTCAACTCACAGGTCTCCAGGATTAACAGCTGTGCCTCATTGGGTGGTTAGAGTTAGGACTAGAGACTGAATGTCCTGGGACAACTGAATGGAGCCAACGATAAGGCATCAGCCCAAAGGAGGGCTGGTTGTGGTAGAAGAAGGGAGCACTGGGCGGGGTAGATGGATGGGCCTCTCTTGTCTGGGTTAATGGGAGGTAGGAAGGGTCCTGGGTGGAGGCAGTTTAGGGAACATTTTACAGATGGAAGACCTTAGAGTGCATCTAGTGAAACCTTTTCATTTTGTTGATGTGTCCGAGGTGTGAAGTACTCAGCCAAAATCACAGCTGGAAATAACAGAGACTGGACTAGTGTCTTCATCTTCTGGCTACAGGACCAGATGGCTCCGGAGGAGAGAGTGAGGCTGGTGACTTTGCACAGCCCTCCCTCACTTAAATCCAATTCACTTGCAAGTCATGGCATCACCTTCCTGATGCCATGGTCCTCTTCGAGAAAGAAGGACACACAACAACATAAGACTAAAGGACTTTCCCGTCTACCATGCTGCCTTTCAGGCAGCTAGGTGGTACAGTGGAAAGAGTATTCCAAGAAGACAAGTTCAAATTTGACCTCAGATACCAGTGCCATGACCCCAGTGGGCAAGTCCCTCAACCTCTATCTGCCTTAGTTTTTCCAACTGTAAAATGGGAATCATAATAATACCTACCTACCTGCCAAAGATTTGTGAAGATCAAATGAAATATTTATAAAGTGCCTGGTGCATAGTAGGTACTTAATAAATGCTTGTTTCCTTCTCTTTCATTTCACAGGTGAAGAAAACGAAGCCTAAAGAGGACAAATGACGACTGACTTACTGAGGTTACATATTTAGTAGCAGATTGTGGATTTAAGGAACACCACCTTTCCTGTCCTACAGAAGAAACCACTCCTGCCCCAGGGTCCTGTCCAAGGCACAGATCCACCACCTACTTCCCTAGAACCCTCAGACAGAGATTCCACACGAAAAAGTATTGGCAAATTTGCTTTATTAGGGAATGAGTTGCCCCTGTTCCATAGCCCCCAGGCCATTCATAGTTCATAACATAAAAACATACACGCAGGCCTGTTGGTTTCATGAACAAAAAGGGATTGTGTACCATGACTATGGTAGACTATATTCTTCCAAACCCCAAATTCCAGAAATACAGTCTTAACAAAGTATATTCCTTCAGCTAAGCTTTGTTAAAAATGTATTTTCTTGTCTTGAAATGAGGACTGTTCCAGACAATACAGGTCATATTGTTGAACTAAGTATGTTGCCAACGAGTCCAATCCGTTCAGCGCTTTGATAAATCCCCTCCTGTGAATGAGACCCAGGCAGAGAGATATGCAGAAGAAGGAGGCAAGTGGCAAGCTAACCCAGGATGGCTGGGATAGGAATGAGTTCTGGGCAGAGAAGTTGGAAGGGGAGAACAGAGTCAAGAGAGAGGCTCTGTTTGTTTTGGTGAGGAGGAGATAAGGTGGATGGGGGGTAAATAGGAAAAGTCTCCCTAAGATCAGTCCAGAACAGACAGGGTCTGTACCCCCTAATCCTGGCATACTGTGCATCTATCTTGGAATGGCAGGAAGAACCCTCTAGACCAGGTACAAAATCCCAACCTGCTCTTGGACCACCAACAACCACCATCCCCCCCCATACATACACATACATGCATACAGATACTCTTTGGCCTCACCCTGGCAGGCACTACACCGGCAGCTGTGTATGACCGGAAGCACAACAGGCTCTGTGTCACCCCCAGGACAACGCAGATTCAGGATGCGCACAGGATTGACAGGGTCCAGGAGGTAGCTACAGCAGTCGCATACGCTCTGCAGGTATGGCTCCTAGGAGCAAAAGAAGGGAGGCTGAGTTACATAGGGACCCAGCCAGAGTGGGGCTGGAGCAAGGGATCAACCTTGCCCAGACCTCACACTATCTCCCCAATGCCATCTATCCACCATTACTAGCCCCCTCGCTATCAAAAAGGGAAATCCAGAAGCCTGGAGTTGGAGCCCCCAACTTTGACTCTCTCCACTGGCATGTTTAGCCAGGCAGAGCAGGACAAGAAACACACCCTTCCTCCACAAAGTTTCTTGATTACTATAACCCACACTGATACTCAATTAACTGATCACCTTTTTATGAACCTAGCTTTGAACTTAGGGAGACACAAGGTTAGAAGAGGTCAATAGTCCAGTTCTCCAGAGGCTTACAGTCTAGTTAGGAAGAAAATGGTGAAACTGCTCAACTACCAGTACTTCCCCACCACACACTTCTGGGGATTTTCTGTATGTAAATTTCACTATGTGTTTAAGTGATAAAGTCATTTGGGGAGGGCCAGTCCATAGAGCAATACTTGAATCTATATCAGAGCACCTAAGGAGCCAGTCATTAACCTAAGGCCAGAGGGATAACCATAGAAGGAGAGATCACTGGCATTTAAATAGTGCTTAAAGATTTACAAAGTAGTTTACACACATCTCATTTAAGCCTATCCTATGAGGTAGGTATTATTATCGGAAATTGAGGCTGAGAGAGGTTGCAACTTGTGCACAGCCACAGAGTTAATGTTATAGGCGGAATTCAATTCAGGTTTTCCTTATGACAGGTCCAGCATTCTAACCTCTAACTCTAACTTAGGATCTGGCAGTCAACCACCTACTCATAGAATCTCAAGATTGAAAAGGACCTCAAAAGTCATCTACTTCAACCCAAGAATCCTCTCTGTAACATATTTGACAAGTGGTCATCCAGCCTTTAGGGGCAGCCAGGTGGTGCAGTGGAAAAAGCTTTGGATCTAGAGTCAAGAGGACCCAAGTTCAAATCCAGCCTCTGACACTAGCTGTGTGACCCTGGTCAAGTCACTTAACCCTGTTTGCCTCAGTTCCTCATCTCTAAAATGAGCTGGAGAAGGAAATGGCAAACCATTCCAGTATCTTTGCCAAGAAGACCCCAAAATGGGGTCACAAAGAGTCAGATGTGACTAAACAATAGGCACAGTCATCAGACATGGTCAATGTAGCCATTTGCTGTGCTTAACTGCACCTCTGTTACACAGGAGGGTGCTACTGGAGTGCAAATGTTATTGGGAAGCAACTAAAATGCTTTTAGGTGGCACAGCGGATAGAGCACTGGTCTTGGAATCAGGAAAACTCATCTTCCTGAGTTCGGATCTGGCCTTAGACACTTACTAGCTGTGTGATCTTGGGCAAGTCACTTAACCCTCTTTGCCTCAGTTTCCTCATCTATAAAATGAGCTGCAGAAGAAAATGGCGAACCATTCCAGGATCTCTGCCAAGAAAACCCCAAATGGGGCCATGAAGAGTCGGACAGGACTGAGACGACTGAATACCAACATCCAGCCTTTGCTGGAAGACCTCCAGTGAGGGAGGAACCCACTTCCCCTAAAGGCAGCCCATTCAGCTTTCATCATAAGGAAATTTTCCCTTGTATCAGGCCTAATTCTCTCTCCGCAACTTCCATCCATGTCCTAGTTCCACCATCTGGATCCAAGAAGAGCAGATATAATCCCACTTCCACATGAAAGCTCTTCAAATACTTGAAGATGGCTTTCAGGTCTCCCAAATGTCTTCACTTCTTCAGGCTAAACATTCCCAGTATCTTTAGACAACGCCCACATGGCCCTGGCCATCATCTTTTGAATCATCATCCAGCTTGTGAATGCTCTCCCTATGATCTAGTGCCCAGAACACAGATGAATGAGAGGGCACTCAAACAGAAAAAGCCAAAGTCAACCAAGGAATAGGAAGTGGGTAGATGGGCCAAATGGAAGCCACCGTGTAGACGACGTGAATTAGTGAGACAGAGCCCGGAGCCAGAGTGCCCCAATGAGGGAGCTAGGGAGCAGAACCTAAAAGCAGAAACCAGATGTGACAACCTGTGAGTAAGCACGTCAAGGGCAGAAGAAAGAGGATGCAATAGGAGAGAACCGAGGGCCTGTGCTCCAGGCAGAGGATCTTGGACGATAAGACGGTGATGATCATAATGCATGCGATGAAAACAACTCAGGCTTGTCTAGCTCTTTGACATTTGCAGGGCACTTTTCTCCCAACCACCTTGTGAGGTAGGGTTTGCAAGTATAAAGGTGTGTGTGCATCTGTGTGTGTGTGCTCGTGATGTGTGTTTTGCCCGTGTCTGCATCTGTTACACAAGCGTTGCTGTGCCCATTTTGTTGATGAGGAAACAGGGTTAGAAAGGACAAATTTATTAAGATCAAAACTCAGACACTTTTAGGAAAGGAGTAAAGAACATCATTACAAAAACAGTTTGCGGCCAAACAGAAATCACTGGGGGCAATTTTCCTGTTGGGAAAGTTCTTTTCTCCCTCAGGAACCAGGTGGCCAGGGTTGACCCAGAGATGGTGGAGGGATGTCTGCAGAGTAAAGTTAAATGAAGCCTGCGGCTGGGGGAGAAACCTGGGCTCAAGTCAGGGCTGGATTAGACCTGGTCAAAAAGAAGAACATGGGCAGGATTGAGCCAGGCTGTCCAGAGCTAAGAATCAAGAAGATATTTAAGGGAAGCATCTGAAATATAGCACAGGGCTAGAGTCCAAAAAGAAGTAGTTAGGTGGCTCAGTGGATAGAGCACCAGGTTTGGAGTCAGGAAGACCTGAGTTCAAATCCAGCCTCTGACACTTACTATGTGACCCTGGCCAAGTCATTTAACCTCTGTTTGCCTTAATCCACTAGAGAAGGAAACAGCAAATCACTCCAATATCTTTGCCAAGAAAACACCATGGACAGTATTGACCTGCTACAGTTCACAGGGTCACAAGGAGTTCCACATAAAACTGAATAACAAGAGCCCAAAAGAAGAGATTCCCCAAACAAGCTGGAAGTCACACTTCAAACTGAAAAAAGAATAGAAAGAGAGGAATGAGCATAGAGTGTTGTTCATCTAGAACCCATTTAAGACCCAGAAACAATTTAGTTTGATGCTACCAAGGTTTTCTGACTCTACCTTGTATAATGGAAAGACCACCAGATTTGGAGTCAGAAGTCCTGGGTTCAAATCCTAGCTCTGCCATCTATTAGCTGAGTGACCTTGGAAAAGTCACATAACATCTGTGGGTCTCAGTTTCCTCCTCTATAAAATCAACAGGTTGAATGAAGATCCCAGAGAACAGATAATGAAATGGAGTCTCTCTCCCTCACTACAGTGAGGTGGGCTCCTGCTAAAACAGAATATGAGCTGTGTGGTCACCCCATCAGTGGCTTTTCTTTGTCACCAAGGAGCATTCAATCTAGATGGGGCAGGCAGCTGAAACAACCGTGGTGCAAAGACAAAAGGCAAAACTAAAATGCATTTTAAATCGTTAACAATCAAAAGAGTAAGTTCGACTGGAAGAGACAGATGTTCTTCACTTTTCTTGTGTTCTGGCCCCTTTTGTCAGTCTGGCAAATGCCTTCTCACAATAACGTTTGTAAATGGATAAAATAAAACACATAGGGATTACAAAGGAAACCAATTATATTGAAATATAGTTATTAAAATATGACAGGAATTAGGCCAATCCCTCTTCCTCAACCTAAGCCAAATGATTTTTTTCACTAGCACTAATTATCTCTGTCTCATAGCATATCTTTTTTTCCCCTCCAATTTGATAGGAACTTTTGAGGAAAATAGACCCTTTTCTTATTGTATTACCCAGAGTAGGGCAGTTGTAAGTAATCAGTAAAACTGGCAGACCCCAGGTTAAGAACCCTTAGACTGGATGATTTCTCAGGACATTTTCTGCTCTAAATATTATTCCACAGCAGTAGTTAGTGGTAGCAGTCAGGTGGGGATTGCCTGAAGGCCACAAGCAAACAAAGAGCCATGGTAACTAGCCCCAGACGTGAAGGATGAGGGAGGGAACTTTAAGGGTAGATGGACACTTCTGTATACTGTGGTGAACTCGCCCTTTTCATTTTTGATACTGGTGATTTGGTTTTCTTCTTTCATTTTCTTAATCAAATTAACCAAAGGTTTATTTATCTTATTGGGTTTTTTTTTTCATGAAACCAGCTCTTAATTTTATTTACTAGTTCAATAGTTCTTTTACTTTCAATTTTATTACTCTCTCCTTTGATTTTCAGGATTTCTAATTTGGTGTTTAATTGGGTATTTTTAATTTGTTCTTTTTCTAGCTTTTTTAGTGGTATGCCCAATTCATTAATCTGTTCTTTCTCTATTTTATTGATGTAAGCATTTAGAGATAGAAAATTTCAGTCCTACATACTGTGAAGAAATAACCCTTCCTGTGTAC